CTCTGGAGCAGCTCTCACTCCCTGCAATAAGCTTCCTCCATCTATTTCCTCTCATCCACTTCCATCTGAAGAGACACAGCTTCTCCCTTGCCCCTTCCTTCCTTCCTTCCTTTCTTCTGCCAATGCTGGCTCGATGCTTTAATCCAGCCACCAGGCAACACGTCCAGTCCTCTGCTTCACCTCATCTATACCATCTACTCTTTGAGAGCCTGCATTAGTTTTCAGTTCCATACTACAGTTTTACCTGAGAGTGGCTCTGCAAAATCATATTTTTTTTTTTTTATCCTGGATAGTCCTTTCCCTGCCTAAATCTGGGCGTTTGGCTCTTTTCTGGAAATTTAAGGCCTAGAGGATAAAATGAGAAGTGCATTTCAAGGCTTTTGCAGGACACTGATTGTTCTTAGAGTGTCAGAGGCCACCAGATCATAAACGAAAAGAAGCTGTAGTCCTCAAAAGCGTATTTACTGCAGCTCTGAAACCAGGCACTGTGATTACTGGAGTTTTGTATTTGTGGGTGACAGTTTCAGTTTAGCCCCTGTGAAATGCACCACTAAAAGGATCCTAATCCCTCTGGGATTATCAGTCATTTCACTATCCTGGCTGATTTAGCAAATCTAACCATTAAACGACAAATGCACTTTAAACAGGGGGTTTTTCATTACATCTGGGCATTTACACTTTTCATTGTGGGAGAGGCCCCTTTCTGAACAGCTGTTTTCTCCCAAACGAGCAGATCTACAACAACTCAGTTGGTGCATCTATAGCCCAGAGGGTCTAGAGACCAGTTTGCTTTAGGCTGGTGTTGCTATTTCCAAACTTTTCAGCTGCCACCCTACTTCCATGTGCCTTCTAAGGCTGGCCAAAACTGCTTTATGTGTGCCTTTGAGGACTTCAGCATGTTCACCTACATGTGTGTTGGGGTGTGCAGGGAGCTGGGGTAACAACCACATCAGTTTACCCTCTGCTGCTGCATTGCCCTTGTTCCAGTATATTTTTCCATTTTAACTATTTTTTCTTACTGAAAAGCCGTTAGTGCACACTGCCATTTGTCAGTCAGTGGCCCAGCCAAGCAAACTCCCATTTCTGAGAGCTCCTGTGCACTTCATTGCCAGCTCCTGTTTCCCAAGGGAACGGGACACTGGAGACAATGGGGTCGTGCTGCTGTGATCAGACAGACGGTATTGGAGTGGTTTGGGGAGACATCAAAGGCATCTCTAGCTGTCCTTTCTGAAGCATCATTCCAGGACCAAAAATAACAACAGATTAAGGTAACTTTGCTGCTCTTAGCACAATCTTTCCAGTTGAGGGGTTTGAGTTGGTTATTTTAAAGCTGGACAAAAAAAATGTCATTGGACCTGGGAGGCTGAGGACCAACAAAGGCTCCCATAACACTTTGAAAAACGTCTTTCTAGAAGTATTTTTACTAAGAGATCTAGTGTTTTCTTCTTCTCCTTCCTTGTATTTTTTGCTACTGTTTGTGCAAAGACAGGGCCTGTGATTTGGTGTTGATTCTCTGCTTAAAGGCGTGGGGACAACCTTGTCTGCCAACAGCTGGAGTTGACACGTGAAGGCTCATTCTTGCAGGACTTTTGACTTGTTGGAGTCCAGAGGGGGCTACAGCGTACCTGGGGGCCCTGGAGAGCAATTGGCACGTCTGGGGTCTCTGAAAGGCTGCATCTATTCTCTCCACCACCGTGTTCTCTGACAGCCTTTCAGCCGAGCGTTTCTCTCCTGCCCTGGTGGGGACGATGCTGTGGCTGGGGCTGTACTCGCACACTCTCTAGCTTCCAAACACCAAATTGTTTTACTTTTTCTACTGCTGCTAAGGGCCTGCCTCTGCTTTTCTCTTCAGTAGCTGCCTCTGCTTTCTCTTTCCAGGGTTGGGAAGTGGGAGGTGTGGTCCTCAAACCAGCACCAGATCCCTTCACTCTGCATCTCTGCTGCCAAACACACACAGCGAGAGAGGGGCCCCGGTGTTACTTGAATTACAAAGTCATTCTATTGTCAAGCCTTTTAAGTGTCAAATTCTCTTTTAAAACCAAAGGCTGTGACATTCACTAAGGAACAGCATCATTTCAAAGTCAGAAAGATCTATTTTTAGCACATCAGTCAAAAAGGGGGAAAAGAAAAAAGTCTTTGGAAAAAAACCCAACAATTTTACCAAAATGAACCTTGTCAGAAATGATCAATTCGTCTTCCATTCAGATTGACCTGGTCCTTGCCGCATGCCAGAGGACAAAATCTGGTGACACAGCACAATAAATTAAGATTGCCAGGTCTCCATGTAATTAATTCTCTTGCAGCGCAGCTTTGGCAAAGAATAATTTATCTTCAAGGTGATTAAACCACTGGTGGTTTGGCTTTGGTGTTATTCTTTCCTTTTTAAGGAACATTCCTCTTCAGTTAGTTGAAGAATAGATGCTGATGAGTAACAGCCACCTCCCAGTATTTTATTCTTGCTATTTAAATACCTCTTCCCGCTAGACCAGTGCCTCCTCAGCAGCCAAGAGGCAAAGATGGAGCACATCATGGCCCAGAGGGACATCGGGGCTGTGCTGTGTTTTCCTGTTTTCTGGAATGTGGCCCCTGGGAAATCCCCACTGCACCAGGGAGCCCAGGTCTGCTCACACCCTGACCTCCAAATCTGTGAACATCACAGGCAGCCAATTAGACTTTTGCCTTTGTTATTTCTCATTGGAAAACTTCGCTCTGAGTTCAGAAAAAAAAAAAAAGAATATGGTCTATAACCTAGTCTTGAAACCTATTTGTACACTTTTATGGTTCTTGAACTAAAGAAAACCTTTAAAGCCTTTATACTAATACAAACCCTACAAATTATTTACGTTTCAATTAAAAGAGAAAAAGAATTAATTTAGCACACTAGAACCTTAGGAAAGATGTCTGTGTTAGTTCTTCAAAGCTGTGTCTTCTAAACTCTGCTTATAAGGACCTTCTCCTGGTGGGCTCTTCATGGTCAAGGGCTGAGAGAATGCAAAGAGCTTTTTCCAACCATCTTGCACGGGAATGTCTTTGTATCTTTACACAGGGACAGAGTTTTAGCTGTTGATAAAGCTCTGCTGTTTATGAAGCAGGAATTCAGTTTGCTGGGGGATGATGCTGGAACAAGTGATGATGGTGATACCAAAGCAGGTTCCCAATGTCTCTGTGTTCGTCCTGACCATCTCCGGAGAGACTGTCATTAATGTGCTTCTCTCTTTTTCACTCTCGTTAGTATTCATGCGGTGATGATCATGTGAGAATTACTCACACTTCTGACTTGAGAAAACTTTCTTAGCCCAGAAATTCATCCAATATCAAGGGAATTAGAAATTCAAATGGGAAATTATACACCCTGTGTGTCAATACAGCAAACCTTATAAAAGCTGCAATCAATCACCTCAGCATCAAGGGTGGTGGTACGTTTCCTTGTTTGTCACCAGGTGGATCCTGGTCCACCCAGTAAAGGTGAATCAGGATGAACCTTCAGTGTGTGCTGCCCAAGGGGATGGTCTCCTGACAGCACAGAGCCGCCGTCGGCTCTGGAGCTCCTCTGTGTTGAGATCCTTGTGCTGTGATGTTGTGATGGTTGGACACAAATCCTGTTTATTTGTCTTGCCCAGGCCCTGCTGTGAAGCAGGTTCTGTCTCTCGCCGTGTCCATGTGCCGTTTCAGTAGAACAAGTGCTTTCTGTCAAACTCTGCTATTATTTTGCTCACTGTCCTGTTGCTCTCTGCCCCCTTAAACCTCTCCGTGGGTCTCCAGCCCTTCCCTGTGCTGACACCTGCCGTGTTCCTGCTCCCAGGTGACACCGGATTCCCCATCCCTGGGTGCTGCCTTGCATTAAGCAACTCGCTCTACAAATCATGTACATTGATTAAATAAATGTAATGATCCATACTGGTTTCTCACTGTCCGGTTGCTGACTCACCAGTGCATGGTACCGAGTGGACTTCTGTTATGGTATCTCTAGATATATATATATTTTTTTAAACCTATATTATGTTGTATGACTAATCCGATGACTCCCTCAAAAACACCTCCCAAAATCACTGCAGTTTGTTTCACACGTACAAGGCCAAAGCTAATGCAGGTGTGTGTAAAACCCAGCAGTGACTCAGGGAGGCTGCAGCTCATCCCTGCACGACACTCTCTCTCTCTGCTACTCGCCTTATGTGTTTTGGCTGCCAAATTTTGTGGTTTTGTAGGTCTTGTATCTCAGCGCTCTGCTGTCAGCTCCCTGAGATGCAAGAAGGAGGCACGGCCCAGATGCTCGCCTGAAGCAGAAATAGCACATCTTGCTACTACTGTTTTCCATCAGGTCCCCTGAGTCTTGAATTTCTGGCAGACAGCGTTCCGTAGGGAGGAAAAAAAAAAAACCTCAGACCTTTAGTTTGCTGTTGTTGTAAAAACCTGATTCTGGTTTTGGTGTAATTTAGCAGACTGAAATGGAGATATAATAAACGTGTTGTACTTTCCCCGTGAATCAGTAAGCTTATGCTGGCAAAAACTCTGCATATTTTGGAATATTCAATAATCCCCTGACACTTCCAGGGGTTTTTGTGTATTCCCAGTGTTTTGTCTGTGTCACAGTTGCAGTTTGAGGGTGTATTTGCTCTGATGAGTACAGGTTTCTGGATGGGTGTTTTCAAAACTCTGGAGAGACAACAGGAACCAAGCAGCCAGGGAGATAAACAGCTCCTGCTAACGATTTATGAGTATATGTGTAGATTTATTTCAGACTGGTCTGTGGCAAAGGTGAGCAATAAGAGCCCTACTGCTTCTGGTCTTTAGGATGCTCTGTACACGGTGTGTGTGGTGAAGGAGCCGTGTCCCTGGGGGTGTGGGTGCTTCTGGGTGTGTGTGATGGGGAGTCCCCGTGTGTGCAGGGAGATGAGGAGGTGTGTGGCAGAGGGCAATGCTCAGAACTGTCACCGGTGTCTCTTGAGCCCTGTGGTGACAAAAGGGCTGTGGTTTTGGCAGAGGGCTAGGGGGTGTCTTACCTTCTGCGCTCTCCGCTTGTCGGCTCGCTGGTTCTGGTGGTAAATCCGGCTGAAGTTGGAAACAATGACTGGAACCGGGAGAGCAATGACCAGCACCCCGCTCAGGGAGCAGATGGAGCCAAAGATCTTCCCAGCAATTGTCTTGGGCACCATGTCACCATAACTGGAGGGGGAAAGAAAAAAGAAAAAAAAAAAAGGAAGTCCCTGCTTCAGACAAGTGCAACGGCACCAAAAGCCTTTCGAGGCTCGTGCTAGTGTCCAGGTCAGACACTGAAGCTTGGAAATCCACCCCGAGAGCAACAATTCACGTGGTGCTGCCACCCTGGAGATGAGGATTTACACCACACTTTGGTAATGAATCAACCTAAACCAAAGAAAGGCGCTTTTGTTGCAGAATAGCTGTGCTGGTTCAGGCAGCTGCTGAGCACGTTAAACTCGGACCCTGGCTGGGTTGGTGCCCACTGCTCCTCTCTGTGTAGCTGAGCTCTGACCCTGAATCCTAAAACTCCTGTGAGCATGTTCATGTATGTTCATTCCCTTGTATCAGGTGCAAATGAGTACACATTTACACTTCCATTTCAAAACCCACAGCAGTTTCCTTCCCATTTCTGTACCCCAGAAATTTGGTGTTCATTCAAAGCCTGGATTCAGTAAATTCTCAGGAATATGGGTCCAGCTGAAAAATATTCTGACAAACCTCTGTGCTGGGTATATTTCTTTGGTATTTTCAGGTTTTTTGGGTTGGTTTTCCTTTTTTGGTATAAATGCTTCAAGCTTCACTAACTAAGGCTTAATTATCCCAAGCAGAGTCCTTCTCCTGCCTTCACCTGCATTAAAGCCCCTCAGAATACCTCAAATCAATAAAATGCTATTTATGTCTATTAACTTTTTAGCTGCTGCTTTATGCAAAGGTAGTTGAAAAGCTCTTGCGAAGTGACAAGGTCTTCTGCTTCATTTAACACTGCTCTAAAAAAACTAAATCTTTCTTACTTTCCTCCTGCCGCCCCTTAACACAATAAGGCTGGAAATTAATCATGTGCCTCAAACATGATCTCAGTGACCCTGAGCACTGAGAGAAAGCCCCTCTGTGCATTTGTAGGAGGTATAATAATAAGTGTCTGGCTCACAGTCTGCCTTGTAGAGTTTTGTTCTTACACGCAGGCTGAGAGTTACCTCATTACTTGGGACCTCAAAGAAGATGCTTTAAAAGGCCATCAGGACAGCTCAGAGTGTCCTGGAGCCCGGAGGGTTCTGCTGGGGAGATGTAGAGCTTCATTTGCAAAACTATGATGAGAGATACTGCCACGAGAGATTTTTGCACTGGCTGTAGAAAGACAACCTGAAGCTTGTACCTAATGCTGACTCCTGGCTCTACCACAGTTACCTGTGGAGAGAACACAGTGGGTTTGTCCCTCTGGGTTCGCAGGGCACGTGGTGCACCCGTGGCCATGTTCTCTGTGTTCAGTGATACTCATGGTCAGAAATATCTTAGCTCTTTGATCGGTGTAAAACCCAGATGTGCTTCAGCAGAGCTCGATCTAGATCCCCTGGCCCTTAACGAGAAGCCTCCCTTTGATTTTGACTGCGATGGGGTTTGCAATGAACCTATAAAGTTGCAATTGTTCTACTCTATTGACATCTGCAGCTAATGCAATATTAATTGCTGGAGTGAGTATTTTTTTCCTGATGGTACCACAAGGTACTAATGGCCACATGGCATATTTATAACAGATTCAGTGCCAAAAAATCTCCAATATTGGATTTCAGTTAGTACTAATTGGGCATTTTAAACCCAAAACTTCTTTTCCCCAGACCGGAATGAGAGAACTCAACTTTCTCATTAATTTGTTTAGTAAAAGGCAACTTGTCCCCTAAAAATTTCTTCCACAGAAAGTGCGTTTTAAGTAATTCATCAATAATCTCATTAGAGCAGCAAGAAGATAGAAGAGGTAGGTAATGATTAACATTCAGAGGGTCTAGTGGGATGTTGGAGCCTGTAATAAAACAACGGGAGGCTGCAAATTCAGTAGACTTTAAATGTGACCTCTAGTAAATAATTTCAGCTTTCTGTACCTTGGTTCCCCGGGTATGAAATGGCATTTGGTTACTGACTCTCTGCCTCCTTAAGCAGGTGCTGGGCTCTTCAGAGCTCTGGGCACCCATAGCCCTGTTGGAGCCTCTGCACCTCTGTCCCATGGGACAGATGATGTAGCTTGGCTTTGTCCCCTTTTCTTCTCTTGGTGTCCCCCCAAAGCCCCGTTTCACAGAATATTCTAGGTTGGAAGGGACCTTAAAGATCATCTTTCCTACCAAGGAAACACAGACCAGAGACTCTACTTGCTGTACACATAACGTAACCCTCGAGTAAAACCTTAAACAGAGAAACCAGGGAAAAAACCAAACAAAATAGGAAATTACTTTTAAGTGGTCACTCTCCAGACTGTGAATGCACAATTTCATGATCTCTTTTTTTTTTTTTTTTTTGTCCTCTGTGTTCTTTGGCTATAAAAGGGGGGGTCGTATGTCACTCACCCTAATTAGCAGCTATTAGCCCTGACAGCATAATGTGCTGTTGTTTTTCTCTCTGTCGGGACGGAAAATGTTATCAAATAGAGGTCACTGCTTCCAAGTCCTGGTTTTAGCAGCAGAGGTGTCTGGACACTGCTTTACTCCCAGCTGGAGACGGCAATAAATAAGGTGCTGAACAGCTCATCAAACGACTCGCTCTAAAAATAGCCTCTCAGCAGCATCTCTGATGATCCTCTCTCCGTGCGACACTCCCAGCCCTACAAACGGGGGGATTGGACTCAAAAAGCTGGAAAGCCCTCTGGTGTAGGGACATCAGAAGGTGCTACAGCAATACCACCTCTGTTGGGACGATGGAACAGCTTTCCAGAGGATGCTCTTTTCCAGCAGCCTCTTTATGTGCCGACTTTCCAGCCGGTGTAAGGGATGCCCCTGGGGAGGGGTTGATGGTTCATGAATTATTGTTTTTGTGTAGCTGTTGTCTCTCTAGACTCGGAGGAGATGAGTGCAACTGAAAACTGATAAACCTGTATCCCGATGCCTTCCTGCTTACTAGTAGAAGACCTGCCTTTGGGAGAGCGTGAGGTCCATCACTGCTCCTCTGGGCTGGCAGAGGGAGGGCAGGGACCTGAGTGGTGTGTCCCAGGGTGTGCTCCTGTGCCCCGGGTGACATGGTTTAGGTGGCAGAGCCAAGGTGAGACCGTGGGGAGAGCTGACCCCAGGATGGAGTGGTTGGAGGAGCACTGTCACCGCCTTTCAGCAGTGAAGGGACATTTCCTGCCCAGTGGTGCAAAACTGTGTGTTTTTCACACACAGCCCATGAGAGCTGAAATATCTTACAGGATGCAGAGAGAAAGAGTGCTGCTTCCAGTGACTGAGTATTTCTGCCTCGCTGGCATTAACAGCTTTCTGAGAGCTGCTTTATCGCTCTAACCTTTTGCCCAGCAGAGTAGAGTCAAAAGAAGATTTCACTCCAGCCTGTAAGCTTCTGCTGTTAGGACAATAAGGACAGAATAATAACATTATGTACTGTACAATAGAATATGATTTTGAAAGCCTTTTGCATGAAAGAGACAGAATAAAGCATGGAATTAGCATGTAGCTTTCCAGGTGCAAGAGATCCTTCTCTATACAGTGAGTAAATCACTGTGCAATGTTCTGATTTGCATAAAGGAGAAAAAAAACAACTGTCTAAAATCCAGCTAGAATGTTTCAGTTGCTTTGTGAGGCTGAGTATGTTGCATTTGACAGCTCAGAGAAGCTCATGTCCCTCCATTTAATAGGTACAAGTCCAATGTAATCATGCTAATGCTGCTCTGAACCCCCAGTGAAATAATGATCGTGTCACTTCCAATGATACAAGGAAAACAAAAGCAAATATTACTCATTCCTTCCTTGGTTTTGCACATGACAAATGAAGAGGGAATTAACAGCTCTGGTACGGAGGCTGGGGATAGTTAGATCTTTTGTTTAGGGTTTCATTCCCGATTCCTCTGGCACATCAGCTGTTCCACCCCCCTCCTTGCTGGAATTACCCACCAACTCCCACAGCTCTCGGAGCCCGGTTGGGCTTCGTCCTGCCACAAATCCATACCCCTGGGTCAGCAAAGGTGCTGCTGCCCTGTTCAGCAGAGGCACACGGACCATCACAGGTGATTTATTACATCCCTGTGTGCAGGGATGGTGGGAGGGGGCTCTCGGGGCAGGGGTACCCTCTGATGGACTGAGATGGGACACAGAACCCGTGATGGAGTTGAGCGCTCCTCAGGTCTGAGAGCTGACTTGGGCTTGTTTTATGTTTGAAAAGAGAAGAGAAATTTTCTCAAAAGTGTTTTGCAGACACAGACTCTGTAATCCGCGTCCGCAAGGACAGCGTGATAGTTTATGTCAGCTTCTTAAATTCCCAAATCCCAGCAGGAACGGGGCGCACCGATGAGAGCCTGAGGAACCCGGCACGTGAGGGGGCTCGTGGTGCCTCTGGAAAGAGTGCGCTGTGAACAGAGCCATAATGAGTTTGAAGCAAGAGAGTCCATAAACAGGCTGTCAAATGAGAGACTTGAACAGCAAACCAGCTGTGTCCGGGGAAGTACAGAGCCTATTTCATGCTAGGGTTCTTTTACATTAAGTAGACTTATTTTCTGCCTTGTTTTGAGCTGGGCAGCTCCTCAGCTGGGTATTTCAACTTCTGCAGCATCTGGCTTGGTTTTACACTACTGTTTTGTTTTTCCCTGGCATATTTTATTTGTTAATGTTTTTTGTGGATGCTCTCATCCTCCTTAGATGTTCTGCTGAAATTACATCCCCCAGCCGAGCTGCGAGGGCTGATGCTGTAGATGCACATCAGTGTGAGCAGCAGCACCTGATCCTCAGTGCTCGGGTTGGGTTTGAGTCCTGGTAAAGCTGTGGTCAGCAGTTACTTAGTAGGGATTTTCTGGGTGATTTTGCCTTTTGATTTTGTTCTGGTTTATAAATTCCTATTTGTTACTGAGTTTTGTGTAATGAAAGGACCGAGAGATGTATCTGAAATCCTGAGAAAAGGTCTGATGCTGTTAAGCCCTTTCTCCTCCTGACAGAAGTGAATGTGGGATGAAATGGGAAGGTGGGATGCTTAAAACCAAGAGGGACATGTGTGCAGTT